ACCCCAAACCCCAAACCCCAAACCCTAAACCCTAAACCCTAAACCCTAAACCCTAAACCCTAAACCCTACCTGTGTACTTCTTGCCGTCGCTCCAGCGGTAGCAGCCTTCTCCGTGAATATCATTTCCGGAAAACTGTCCCTCGAAAACACTTTTGTCTTTCCATTCGAACTTTCCTTTTCCTTCTTTTCTTCCTTTTTTATATTCCCCCAAATAGCTGCTGCCGTCCGCCCAAACCTCCCGCCCCCAGCCCTCCTGCAGGTCCTCAGCCCACTCCCCTGCAGCAGCAGCAGCAGCAGCAGCAGCAGCAGCAGCAGCAGCGAGGTGGGGGTGCAGCAGCAGCGGCAGCGGAGGTGTGCGGCGTGCAGCAGCAGCAGCAGCAGGGGAGGTGTGGGGCGTGCAGCAGCAGCAGCAGCAGCAGCGGAGGTGTGGGGCGTGCAGCAGCAGCAGCAGCAGCAGCAGCGGAGGTGTGCGGCGTGCAGCAGCAGCAGCAGCAGCAGCAGCGGAGCTGGAGATGTAACAGCAGCGCTAGAGAGCCAGCAGCAGCAGCAGCAGCAGCAGCAGCGCCGCAGAGCCAGCAGCAGCAAGAAGCCCTGCTGCTGCTGCTGCAGCAGAAGCTGCGAGGGAGCCGGTGAAGAGGACACGCGCAAAAGAATTCCCCAGAAAAATTAGGGTTTAGGGTTTAGGGTTTAGGGTTTAGGGTTTAGGGTTTGACCATCATAGTAAGAACCGTCGGCGTGAGTGAATCTTCCCTTCCCATGGGCTTTGCTGTTTTTCCACTGCCCCTCATATGTGTCGCCTGCGCCGCACAAACCCTAAACCCTAAACCCTAAACCCTAAACCCTAAACCCTAAACCCTAAACCCTAATCCTAGCTGATCGAGCATTCCCTTTGAGAAGCGCAGGCGGAGCAGCAGCGGCCGCAGCCCCGGGCGCCGCGCTCCGCGGGCCCGCGGACAAAGCCAGGGTTTAGGGTTTAGGGTTTAGGGTTTAGGGTTTAGGGTTTACCTGAAGGGTGGATGAACTTGCCCTGGCCCTCTGCAACCCCGTCTTTGAAATAGCCCACATACTTCGAGCCGCAGGGCCTCACTAAAACACCAAATCCGTGTTTAAGTCCATTTTTGAAGTCTCCCGTGTAAGTGGCCCCGCCGCCTGGCCGCAAACCCTAAACCCTAAACCCTAAACCCTAAACCCTAAACCCTAGCCGCGCCCGCGCCAACGCACCCGCAGCTCCCGCAAACAACCACTAACGCCTACTCAAAACCGTCGTCTTCGCAGTGTTGTCCTGGGCACAACCACCCAAACCCTAAACCCTCACCTCTAAACCCTAAACCCTAAACCCTAAACCCTAAACCCTAGAACGCAGTGGCTAAGTCCTAGGCAACAGCTTCGCCGCAAAACCCTCACAAGCCCCGCGCCCTAAAGGGTGCTCACGCTCCTCACGTTCTTACGCGCACGCGACTAAACCCTAAACCCTAAACCCTAAACCCTAAACCCTAAACCCTAAACCCTAAACCCTTACTCCCTCATTTCCTTCCGTCTGCTGCGTCGCCACTATCTCGAGGCCGTTTTCGCTTTTGCTGGCGTCGAGACACTGGCAGGAAATTGCAGTCCCCATTGTGCTTTCCTGCGAAGCCAAACCCTAAACCCTAAACCCTAAACCCTAAACCCTAAACCCCAGGCCCAGGCCCGGGAAGGAAGCAGTTAAGGGTTTGCCCAGAGAAGAATTTGGCTGAGTTTGCTGCAAGGGTTTAAGCAGCAGCAGCAGCTCAAATCTGTTGCGGTTCTAAGGCGCCTCGGGAGGCGAAGGCAGCGCCAGCAGGGCTTAGGGTTTAGGGTTTAGGGTTTAGGGTTTAGGGTTTAGGGTTTACGGGGAGGCGCGACTGTCTGGGCGGGCGGCGGCCCCTGCAGGCGCAGGGCTCGCGAATGGTTGAGGTGTACGTACACCTGGAGCAGCAGGGCCGGACAGCCGCGGCTGAGCCCCGGCGGATCGGAAATTGGGGTGTCTAGGGAGCTTTCGGGCGCATTGGGGCGAGCTGGGGGATGCAAAGAAGCGGAAAAAGAAAAGAAATGATAAAAGTGAAATAAAAAAGAAAGAAGAAGGGGTTTTTGGCGTTGCTTCGGCGCAGAAAACAGAAGCAGCGGCGGCGCTGCCGGTGGTGCTGCGGTGTACAGACAGCTCGCCGCCCCAGACTTCGCCACACTCCCCAGTTCTTTGCAAACAACAAAAAACTGTTTTTAATTATTTATTTTAATTTATTTCGTTTTTTGGAAAGCGCTGCGGCCTCGCCGCTCACTTACAGCGGCTGCAGCAGGGGCTGCCGCCGCCGCCGTGTCGGGTGTATGCGCAGCTCCGCCGGGCCTCCCTTCGCCTTCGTTTTGCGTCCTTTTAATCGCTTTTTCGCATTTTCTGCTTTTTATAAACGCTTTTAATGCAATTTTATTGAAAAAAGGCTTTTAAAACGGGGCGGAGCGGGCGGAAAAGCCGGCAGGACTGCAACACTGAAGTGACTGACCCGTGAGCGCCGGCGCCGCGGCGGCACCCGAAGCTCAATTTTCGAGTTCTTCGCGCCTTTTTAATCCAATTAAAACCATTTAATTCATTTAATTTTATTTCTTTTTTATTCTTTTATTCTTTTTCTCCAAATTCCCCCCCGCGCACTTCCTGCAGGCCACTGGGGAAGGGAACCACGGCCGCCGCCGCCTCCGGCGCTGCTGCAGCCGAAACCCCAAACCCTAAACGCTAAACCCTAAACCCTAAAACGCAGACTCTAAACCCTAAACACTAAAACGCAAACCCTAAACCCTAATCCTCAATCTCTGGGCCACCGGCTTCAAGCCGAGCAGCAAAGTGGATTGTCTGCTGGAGTATTCTTTGTGCTGGCGAGGGTTTAGGGTTTAGGCTTTTAGGGTTTAGGGTTTACACATGGCATAAGTCCTAAGGGTTTGAAGCCTAGGCTTCGGAGCCTGGGAATTAGGGTTTAGGGTTTACGTTCGAGACCTAGGGTTTAGGGTTTGCGTGCCTGCAGCGAGCCTCCAGCTTCGAGGGTTTAGGGTTTGCAATGCCAGTAGTGCTAAAGGCAGCAAGCCTTCCTAAACCCTAGCTCGCTGCATCGCATTCCCATCAGGGTTTAGGGTTTAGGGTTTAGGGTTTACGCGGAGGGTTGCGAACATCCTCTCTGCAAATGCACTTTGAAACGCCCCCAAGCGGCTTGGCTAGCTAGCTAGTTAGCTGCGTACCCTCCTAGCTAGCTAGCAGCTAGCTAGCAGCTAGCTAGCAGCTAGCTAGCCAGCTAGCTAGCCAGCTAGCTGCCGTGCCAGCAGCTAGCTGGCTAGCCAGCTAGCTAGCCGCCCATCTACCTTGCTGCACAGCTAGCCAGCTGCTTATCTGGCTAGCTAGCGGCCTAGCTAGCTGCGAAGCTACCTGCTGGCTAGCTAGCTGCCAGCTAGCTAGCTAGCTAGCTAGCTAGCTAGCTAGCCATCCAGCTAGCTAGTTGCTAGCTAGCTAGGTAGCAGGTGGCCCTGGAGTTAAGGGCTGCGGTCTGTGGGCGATAGCTGTTGCTGAGGTTTCCTAGCGGCGCCCAGCCTTAAAATTAGGGTTTAGGGTTTAGGGTTTAGGGTTTAGGGTTTTGCTGGCCACAGGAGGGCAGGTCTTACCTGCTGCTGCTGCTGCCCATTTGCTCCCTCTTTTTGCTGCTCGCGAGCTTTCGCTGGCATCTAAACATTAAACCCTAAACCCTAAACCCTAAACCCTAAACCCTAGGAAGTTTACTTTCTTCAATCTTGCAGTTTTGTTTCGCAACAAAAGCTCACCAATCTGAACACATCTCAAACACTCTGCCCCAGCTAGCTAGCTAGCTGGCAGGCTAGCTAGCTCCTCAGCTAGCTGGCTAGCTAGCTATCAAAGCTAGCTAGCTGGCTAGCTAGCCATCAAAGCTAGCTAGCTGGCTAGCTAGCTAGCTAGCTAGCTGGCCCCTGTTTGCTTGCCCAGACCTCGACAGTCAGCTAGCCAGCGAGCTAGCTAGCCAGCGGGCAGCCTTTAGCCAGCCAGCTAGCTAGCTAGCTAACTGGCTGGACTAGCTAGCTAGCTAGCTAGCTAGCTAGCTACCTAGCTAGCCAGCAAGCTAGCTAGCTAGCTACCAGCTAGCCAGCTAGCTAGCTAGCTAGTCTAGTTAGGGCCCTCTGCCGAGGGGTGCGGGGCCCCACTGAAAAGTGTGTTTGTTGGTGGGGTTGCTTCCCGCTGCTGCTGCTGCTGCTGCTGCTGGTGGCAAGAGGAGCACCCCCTGTGGGGGCCTCCTGCTGCTGGTGCTGCTGCTGGTGCTGCTGCTGCTGCTGGTGCTGCTGCTGCTGGTGCTGCTGCTGCTGGTGCTGCTGCTGCTGGGGCTTCACCGCCCTCGTTTGAGGCAGCCTCAGGGCTCCCTTGGCTAGCTGCTGGCTGGCGAGTTTGCTGCTGCTGCTGCTGCTCTTGTGGCTGCTGCTGCTCTTGTGGCTGCTGCTGCTCTTGTGGCTGCTGCTGCTCTTGTGGCTGCTGCTGCTGCGGCAGCAGCACTTGCGGCTGCTGCGGTTCTCTATGCGGCTGTTGCTGCTGCTGTTCATATGGCTGCTGCTGCTCTTGATTTAGCTGCTGCGGTTGCTGCTGCTGCTCGTGTAACTGCTGCGGCTGCTGCTGCTGCTGCTGCTCGCTCGGCTGCTGCTGCTGCTCACTTGGCTGCTGCTGCTCATGTGGCTGCTGCTGCTGCTGCTGCTGCTGCGAGGGGCAGGGCACCGACCCACGTAGGTTGGCTTCCTGCTGCTTGGGTTGCTGCTGCTGCTGCTGCTGCGGCTGCTGCTTCTGCTGCTGCTCGACTTCGTGCTGATAAAGGGGCTTTTCCTGCTGCTGCTGCTGCGGCTGCTGCTGCTGCTGCGGCTGCTGCTGCGGCTGCTGCTGCTGCTGCCTAGGCGGGCGTGAGGGGGGCCAGGGAATGTCTCTAAGCCCCATGCCGTTGGAGACAATGTGAGGGTTTAGATTAGGGTTTAGATTAGGGTTTGCGTTAGGGTTTAGATTAGGGTTTGCGTTAGGGTTTAGATTAGGGTTTAGGCTAGGGTTTTGCTGCTCGCTGCTGCTGCCTGCTGCATATAAATCGAAGCACTTGGGGGTTTTCAAACCCTCGGCTTCTTCTAAGTACAAACAAAACCACAAAAGAGAGTTTATCGCCTCAAACAACTCCATCCCCAAAGCCTGCGCACAAACCCTAAACCCTAAACCCTAAACCCTAAACCCTAAACCCTAGAGGCACAGACTTTCTCGGTTCAGGGTTTAGGGTTTACTTGGGGCTGGAAGGGTTTAGCGCTCGCAGCAGCTGCGAAGGCGCGTGACCCCCGCAGGCTCAGGGTTTAGGGTTTAGGGCTTAGGGTTTAGGGTTTAGGGTTTAGGGTTTAGGGCTTACTCTGTTGTCTCTCCAAACGTCAAGGAGGGAAAACCCTAAAAACTAGAATTTGTAAGCGCCCACAATTAGCCCCGTTCTGTCTCTGCCGTGGTGGCAGTGCAGCAGAGAGACAACTGCTTCCTTGCTGCTGCTGCTGCTGCTGCTGCTGCGGTCGCTGCTGCTGCTGCTGCTGCTGCTGCTGCTGCGGGCGGCGCCTGCAGCCGGCTTTGCTGCTGCTGCTGCAACTGCAGCAGCAGCAGCAGATGCCTCCAGCTGCTGCTCATAGTCCTGCCCGCAGCGTCTGTGCTGCTGCTGGTGATGGTGGTGGTGGCGGTGCTGCTGCTGCTGCTGCTGCTGCTGCTGCTGCTGCTGCTGCTGCTGCTTGCACATCTCGCAGCCACCGCATCCGCCATGAGCACCTTCGCGTCTCGCTAAACCCTCTTGCTGCTGCTGCTGCTGCTGCTGCTGCTGCTGCATGTGGCAGCCGCTGCAGCCTTTGCAGCCGCTGCAGTTGCTGCAGTTGCTGCAGTTGCTGCAGTTGCTGCAGTGCCCGCACATGGTGTGTCTGGGCGCTGCTGCTGCTGCTGCTGCTGCTGCATCAGCAGCAGCAACGAGCTCAGCGCCAGATGCTGCTGCTGCTGTTGCTGCGGCTTCTTCAAAGAACTGCCTGGCTGCTGCGGGTGCTGCTGCTGCCGAAAGGGCTGCTGCTGCTGCTGCAGCTCCCGGCGCTGCAGCAGCAACTGCAGCAGCAGCAGCAGCAGCAGCAACAGCAGCTTCGCCAGCAGCAACTCCCAAATGAATTTGCGCATAAAGTGCATCCACTCTTTGGTTTAAAAAGTCTCCGTTCCAGCTCGTGAGGTTCTTCGCCATCGCAATTCGATTCTGCGCAAACCCTAAACCCTAAACCCTAAACCCTAAACCCTAAACCCTAAATCTTAAACCCTGGCGTCTTTCTGTGTCGTGGCTCCGTCGCAGCATCCGCAAGTTCTTAGGAAACGAAAGACCGCAGCAGCAAGCGAAAAGTCCCCAAACCCTAAACCCTAAACCCTAAACCCTAAACCCTAAACCCTACCTCTTTGGGCACGTCATAAGGATTCACGCTTTCTCCATAAAGCGGCCAGTGATGCACGGAGACCCTCTTGCTGCTGCTGCTGCTGCTGCTGCTGCTGCTGCTGCTGCTGCTGCCTTCCATGAGGCAATACTCTCTATTCAGTTCGCACCTTTCGTTGAGCTGCGACGCGCAACAAACCCTAAACCCTAAACCCTAAACCCTAAACCCTAAACCCTAAACACTACATCCCGGCCCCATACCCCAGACCTAAACACCGCGACCCGCCACGTCCAGCTCAACTCCCTCAACCCTAGACCCCAAACCCCCACCCCAAACCCTAAACCCTAAACCCTAAACCCTAAACCCTAAACCCTAAACCCTCGCACGCACCTTCGTAGGCCACGCCGTAGCCCGCAGGGTCCCCACCATGCAGTGCAGGCCAGGGGGCCCCCGGGGCCCCCGGGGCCCCCGGGGGCCCCACACCCTTGGGGGGGCCCCCAGGGGCCCCACAGAAGCCCAGCGGCTGCTGCTGGCTGTCTGCTGCAGTTAGGGGGGTTCTGCTATCTGCGCAGCCTCCCAACTCCATTGTAAACCCTAAACCCTAAACCCTAAACCCTAAACCCTAAACCCTAAACCCTAAAGCCTGAATTGCGGGCTGCAGACTAAAGAGAAGACCCCGAGAGGCCTGACACACGGAAGGGCCGCAGCCGCTCCCTCCCGCGCCGCAGCTGCAACCCTAAACCCTAAACCCTAAACCCTAAACCCTAAACCCTTGCCCTCGCACGCCCCAAAGAGAAAATAAAGATTAGTTCAACAGAAGAAGGCACTAAATAAACCCTTTGTGCTGCTAGGGTTTAGATAGTGGGCTTGAGGTGTACAGACACCGCGCGAGTTGGGGCCCCCAGCAGCAGCAGCAGCAGCAGCAGCAGCAGCAGCAGCAGCAGCAGCAGCAGCAGCAGCAGCAATTTGAGAATCAAGTAAATTAATAATTGTTTTTTGTTTGAGAAATGTTAATAAAGAAAAAACAAACACACCCCTTCTGCGTTTCCTCGCGTGTGGGGCCACTACACACCATTCTAGGGTTTAGGGTTTAGGGTTTAGGGTTTACCAGGCGGGGCCAGTAGCCTTCTCTATTGCGCCCGTAGTTGAAACGCCAGTGCCGAAGGCACACACAAACCCTAAACCCTAAACCCTAATTTCTAAACCCTGACGGGGGCTCTTTAGGGCTGCTGCGGCCAAAACCCTAAACCCTAAACCCTAAACCCTAAACCCTCATTCTGTGCCGGGCTCTTCCTTCGGCTTCTTCAGGAGTCGCGAACGAACCCTCTTGACTTGCGACAGCTTCTGCGGCACAAACCCTAAACCCTAAACCCTAAACCCTAAACCCTAAACCCTCAGTCTTAAGGGCTGCTAAGCCTTCCAGCGAAACGCCAATCACTGGTCCCCCACGGCTCAGGGCTAGGGCTTAGACCTTAGGGTTTAGGGTTTAGGGTTTAGGGTTTAGGGTTTGCCCACAGGGCTCTCAATTATCTTCTTTGTGGTCTTCTTGCAAGACAGCGGGTTGACTCCCCTCTTCTTCCTGCGGCCCCACACCACACGAATTATAAATTTGCTGCAGCAGCAGCAGCAGCAGCAGCAGCAGCAGCTGAGAGTGCAGCAGCAGCAGCAGCAGCAGCAGCGGGAAAGCGCGTCGGACTTTTTCTTTTTTGCTGCTTTTAGCTGTTCCTTTTGCTGCTCCAGTTCTTCCTGTTGCTGCTGCTGAAGCAGCACGCTGCAGTCTTCGCCCTGCTGCTGCAGTTGCTGCAGCAGCTGCTTCCTCTGGCGGGCCAGCCGCTGCTTCTCAGCAGCAGCAGCAGCTGCTGCTGCTGCTGCCCCTGTCTTGCTGCGCTGCGCAGCAGCAGCAGCAGCTTTCGACTGCTTCGTGGGCGGCTCCATTTGCAGCACCCCTTTGAACAGGAACAGCAGCGGCAGCCCCGGCACCCGCCTGCAGCAGCAGCAGCAGCAGCAGG